GTCAGGAGGTTGGGGACCCGGCACTACTGAGCAGGGGCAGGGGCAGCATGCAGCCTTGTGTATTACTACCCTCCATACCCCTGTACCCCAGACCTTCCCACCTGACCCCTGCTGTCAGAATGCAGGCCCTGGGGGTGGGTGGTGGGGCATGCTCTGAATCAGAATGGGTTCAATGGTAGGGAGCTCCTCTGGAGTGCTGACACACTAAGGCTTAGTAGATGCCCCAGGGAGGGAGGGCTGGCTCCTCAGTGGGAGTAGAACTCTGATCCCCTGCCCATTCCCAGCCCAGCCAATCACCTTTAGGTCCTAAACATCTTGGCATTCAGCCCACTGTCCCAGCATCCCCACCCCATCTCCTAGCCTCCCCCATACCCAGACTTGTCACAGAAGACCCTGATCTGTACCTTGGGCCAACAAGCCTTAGGAGGCCCCCCACCAAAGAGGGCTAAGGAATCTGGGGATCCCCTCCAACCCCCCAGTCCTCTCTCCAGTGGGCCGCTGTCCCCATACACTGTCTCCCTAGGGGGGAAATGCTCCCCCTTTTCAGCTGCTGCATTGTGGGCCCTTTCCCAGCCTGTGACTCTAAAGAGCTTTGCAGCTAAGCTTGAAATGAACTCGAGACGTGAGCGAGCCAAAGAATGCTAGCAGACGCCACCCTGGCCTCTCTCTGCCTTCCTCATTCCCAGAACTGTCCCACAGTGATCTCTCAACTTGAAACCCAAGGAGGTATCTGGTCCGAGTGCCCCTGCTGCCCTCCTTCCAAGCTGACCGTCTAGACCTGTTTCCCATTTCCAGACCTTTGCAGACCACAGGACGGCCTGGAGCACCAGCTGGGGTCCTCGGCCGGCCAGGGACAGACCAGGCAGCTGCTGCAGATGACACTGGGAACGTTCTGGGGCTCCTCAAGGCACCTGCCCCTTGTCCCTTCACTGTGGACTAGAGCCAACCCCTCTGAGCTCTCCCAAGCTCCTCTCCCATCAGTCAGCATCTCACTGGAATCACTCCTGTTCTTGGGTGTTACATCCAGGTCTCTGCGCTTGACTCATGGACACCAGGCTCACTGCCTTGTGGCCTCCCCGTTCCCTGCTGTCCCTGGAAGAGACCAGGCAAGCCTCCTCCACCACGAAGGTCTTTGCTGGGGCGGTGTGTGTGTGTGTGTGTGTGTGGTCCTTCTGTCTGCTCCTCCCTTGGGTCTCCACCCAGCTCACTCCTTCAGCTCCCTCAGGTCTTGGCTCACAAGTCACCTACACAAGGAGGCCTTCCTGTCCCCGACTTAAAATCCTGTCCCCATCAGGCACCGCCTGTCCCCGGCCTCCGCTTCATCTTTCTTCCAGGTACTTCCTGCTGGGCAGCATCCCCGATGGAGCCCCTGAGTGTCCAGTCAGACACTCAGAAGAAAGGCCTGGTGATCCAAGTCCAAAAGCTTGGTGAGTGGAAGCCCTTGGGAACATAGGGGTTTCCATGGGTCAGAGTTGACTCGGTAGCAGCGGGTTGTAATCTGTTTATTGTGAATTAGGAGGGGGCTGACACATGTCAAATGACCGGCCGGCGCTGCTCCCACCGGCCCCACTTT